ACTCTTTAAATTCTTTATTTCAGGAATTAAGTATAGAATACTATGCCAAATTTGGGAAATCAACAAGAAAGAAAATACAGGCAAAAGCAGATAAGATTTGATACTTTGTCCTGCTGTACTTAAGCACTGCATCCGTCCAGTTTCAATGGTGCAGAGTGGCAAAAATATGCCTCTTTTTGCTGACATTAACAGCAAGATTCTACCAATGAGCATTATTTAAAAACACACTCATTTCTACTCCTTAGACATATTTAGACCTCATTCTACTACCTTTATACTCAGTTGTTTCATACTTACCTTTTATTTCTCTAGAATCTATTCTGACAATTCTTGCGACCTTATCTTCTATTTTACTGATTCTACCTGTATCTGGTTATAATATCTGGCTAAACCAGAGATCTTTTTTCTTTCATTTGTTATATGTTCCTTTTCCAAACATTCTGTCCTGCTTTTCAGGTTTTCTTGTCTTCTGCTTGTATTCTCAAGTGTCACTTTTTCAAATATAAAACCTATTTTATTGTGTTCTCTACCTGATAGTTCTAATAGCTCAAGTCTTTATGAGACTTTGTCTGCCTATCTTCTCCTTAGAACTTGACCTGTGGGACTCTTCTGAGGCCTGAGATGAAGTGACTTCGGAGAGAACTGTGTCTGTTCTGACAGCTCTTTAAGTTAAGTGATCTATTTCAGAGTTTTAATACCATACTACTAATATGTATTTAAATCATAATCTTGTATAAAATTATCTTGTGATAAAATTTCTAAAGTATCTTTTTTCTCACTACAAGTGTAGAATCAAAACAAGAAATTCTCTTGGCTGTTACCTTTGCATGTGCATGTGATTTGTGAAATCTGTTTTAAGTAAGGGATCCTAATATATTCTCTACCATAAGTGAGCTGTGCAATTTCTTTCTTGTGCCCCATGGAGTCACCAAAGCAGAAGCTCAAAATCTTTAGGACCCAAAAAATACCTTCAGGAAACTCTGGCATTCACTTACCTGCCAGGATTTTGAACTTCATTTCAGGACTCCAAAGTTTAACCTTTGTGCCAGCTCAATATACATTTAAAACACACACACATATACAGAATATATATTCCTGGGTATTCATCTCTCATTCCCCAATACTACAGACAACAAATTTCACTCTGCACTTACCCTTTAGGCCTCCCTCTTCTTTCCCTTCCTTGAACTCATTTAAATGTCAAAATTTTCTGCAGTCTAAGAAATTTCTAACCTATCTTCTCCTGTCAATATAACCCTTACTATTTCTTAGATAGGCTATTCAGACAGCCTCCATCCAGAGTCTCCTAACTCTCAATCTTTTCCTCACACTTAGGATTGGAGATGCTAAGAGAAAGGCATAAATTCTCAACTGTCCTTGGGGTCCAATCTATTTGAACAGGTTCTAGTTCATCCTTCCTTACCCTGCTTCATGCTCTTCTTTTCCTGACAGTCTGCATAAAGCTTCAGATACAGCGCCAAAAAAAGAAGCAACAACCTTTCATAGATGGTTCAGTGTCTATATTTGCATGTAATTCTTTGTAATTTAAATATTAAAATTTGCATATATTTTAATGTCTAAAATATATTCCTTGTTATATCTTCCAGGGTTTTGCTTTTCTGATCAAAAACTAATATAGTAGTATTTGCTGGGATTTTTATTCCTTTAAAGTCATCAAATGGATGTAGCTTAGTTTCTTCAACCAATCAGTTACTCCCAGTCCTTGTTATTATAAATGGTGCTGCAATGAACAGCAACATTTCTTTCAGATTCCTATCAGTATGTTTCTGAATCAACATACTGACTGTGAATCAAAGGGTAAGTAACCATATTGGTGCTAATCATTCTATGCCCACCTTACAATGTATAACTTCATCTGGAAATTGTGCATACAACTATGGCAAAGATTGGGAGTTGTCAGTATCTGTCTCTGCTCACTGTGTAATATAATTTTCAATTGGGCACTAAGCTAAAGAATGCTTTTTTCTGTCTCCTTGTGGGAGATGAGTAAATTTAACATGTACAAAATCCAAAACATTCTTTAAGAGAATAAGAATTCCTTTCCCTCTACTCCTTTCCCATTTCTGGGGGCAAAAATGTCTGTGAAGCTGAGAGCAGAGCAGCCACATGGGACCAGGAGCTGGAAGTCACATGTTGGACACAGAAACCAGACAGAAGGGCCCTGGAACCTTGATGACTGAGAATCAACACAACAACCCTTGCCTGCCAACATGGATATTTGTGTGAGGGGAAAATTCAATTTTTATGACTTAAGGTCTCATTGTTTATATTGTTTGCTAAATAATATACCTGGCTTTTTGGAAATGTCTTAATTCATGAATATATCTACGTATTTAAAACACCATTTCATAAATGAAATACAAAGACTTAAATGTACAGCGTTCATAAACGCTGCCTTAGATTACACAAAACTTTTCTTTTTGTATTCTGACTTATACCTGACTATGGTCCATTAAATACAACTACTGGACAATCTAAGTGAGTTATGTAATCAACACAATACCCAATTAATTTCCAATTATTTTTACAAATAATTATAGACTGTTACTTATAGTAATAAATATACATTTATATTTATGACTCAGTGAAACTTCCCATTGAGAACTCCTCTCTAGAACTTTAAATATAAATGATCATGTCTTTAGTATACCCTATCTTAATTATTCGCAAATGGATTAATTTGAGGAGAATATAGGGAAAAGGAAATCTATTAAATGAATTATTATTAATGGAAATGACAATTTCTAATCACACCACTTAGAAATTGGATCAGGTTACTCTGGTCTTAGAAACAACTCAAAAGACCTTCTTTTATCTTGCCATTTGACTCTGTCAATACAGTAATGTCTTCTATAAGGCATCTCCTATCACTCAATCAAAATGCCCCATTCCTTTCTGCGGTATTCCTAGCACTGTAAATTTAGTGATTGCTCTACCAGTGTGCGGTAGATATTAGATAATAACAGGGCTAGAGAAGAATAAACTGCATGTGGACATAAGCTGAAGTAATGGTATCAAAACATTCAGAACTTCCACCTCAAAAAAAGCAGAAATCAAAATGTGATCATGCACAAGAAACTGATTTGAACCAGAGGCCAAGTATAAAGAAAGTCATGGGCTTTCAATATAAGAACTAAGAACAAAAGTAGCTCAATGGGAACAGGCAATATCAGTCACTGCTTCAAAACTGATGTCAAGCACTGGTTCTCAAAATGCAGTATGGGGCAAAATCAGGTGGAGGGGCTACTAAGTTAGAGACCTGCACCCTGTTCTTGATAGTTCTGATTCAGTAGATCTTGAATGAGGTATGACAATTTGCTTTTTTCTAAAATACTCCCAGATGATGCTTTTGCTGCAACACAATGACCAAATCTGACAATTACCTAGAAAAAAACTAATATGAAGAATTTAGTGATTATGGAGGGAACTCTTAATTAATTGATTTGCTTTAACAGTTGGTTGCCTTTACAAATAGAATAGCCATCAAATATCCAAAGTACTAGTAATCAAACAGCTAGCTAATCAGTACATACCATCACTGTTTATCTAACCACCTCAAGGCTTTTTGTTATTTTCATATTCCTATTCTATTACTGGATTTAGATCACAGTAGATGCCATTCAAAATGTTTTTTAACTAAAGTACAACAGGAACTGATGTTTCTAAAAGAACTGTGAAATGGTATCAGATACTTATAAAGTTAAATCTTCATTTACTCTTGACACATCATTATGTGACACAAAATTATATGACACACATAATTTATTATTCAAAGGGCATTTTAAAATATATTCACAAAAAAACACTTGAATATGAATGTTCATAGCAACCTTATACAAAATAGACAAAAATTGAAAATGATGATGGATATTTGTTCAAAGGAATGGATAAATTGTGATATACTCATATAGTGGGTTGCTATTCAGCAATGAAAAAGGAATTACTGATACAAGCAACAAGATGAATACATCTAAAAAATATTAAACTGACAAAAGTAACAATATAAATTAATCCGAAAAACAAAAGAGTTAAGCAAAAGAGTCAAGCAAAGAAGTTTATATTATGAGAAGCCCAAAAATATGCAATAGTGACAAAGATTGGGATAGACAGCAATGAATGGCAACTTCCTAGAGTGATGAAAATATTTTAGGTCTTGTGTTAATATATTACATGAATATATAGAACTGTCAAATCTATCAAATTGAATACTTACTATCTGCATTTCATTATATGTAAAATACATCACTATAAAGTATTATAATCTTATTCAAGAAAAATATTATTTGATGCTTCCTGAATTCAACATAAAATATACTTTAAACGGGGGGGGGGGAAGGGAGGGAAATGCACGGGACTATGGTGGTGGCACAGGGGTGATTTGGTGATGGGAAACCCGTGGGGATTACAATTGAGATGAAAAAAAAAATGTGAAAAATGATGTAAAAATAAACTTTTTAATAAAATAGAAAAAAAAATATATACTTTAAACATAATAATTTGTTTAAAATTTCCATCACAGCTAGTAAATAGAATTAAGCTTTTGGGTTAGTAGGAAAACAAGCAAACACCTCAATCTGCATTAATAATGCCCCCTTCATGATGAAAAAGTAATTTAAATGTAGTGTATATATTGTAGCTAAAAAGGCATTCTATACTAATCAGTAAAATGAGCAGTTTCACTTGCTGGCTCACCCAACACTAAGTACCTATTGTATGATTAAACCTAAACCCGATGTTTTACTATCACCGCACACTGCTTCCTGTTTCTACAGTCAAAGTATAAAACAATTAGATAAATTTTTCCTGAACTTGACATAAAATATAAACCTAAGGACAAACTATAGAACAAACCAGAATTTTTTTCTACAAGGTAAATAGAAATCAAGCTGATGAGGGAAAATAGCTAAATTTTTTTAGCTGTGAAAAACAAAATACATTAAAATATTTGCCAATGTAAAATAAACAAAAGAAACCTTTACCTGCTGCCCTGTAAAGTATTTTAGGTTCAAAAAATATACAAGGGTTTTTATCCTCTATGCATGACAAAAGAAGTCCTTTGGCCTGGAAAGGGCTTCTGGGTACAACCACCTGTAAAAACAGATTTTTTTTAACGATTTTAGTGAAAATGTATCCTACTAAGCTCACTTATACGAAGCATTGATATTTAAACCAATTACTAATTAAAAGTAAAAATCTGGTATTTTAACCTAATTACCAATATAAAATTTACATAATGTCCACAAAAATTCCATTTACTCAACAAATATATATCAGATGCCTACCATATTCTAGTAACCAGAGCATTAACTAAGATACTCTCTTAAGGAAATTAACTTGCATATATGTAAACAACAAAAGGAATCCACAAAGTACATCAAAACTAAGAGGTTAGCCCTATCTTCCAAAATGTACCTACAAATTTTTTTACTCAATACTTTTTCTACTTTCAAAAGTCATTCAATTTTCTCCTTTGATTTTTCTCCTTTCCACTGAATTTTTCTCTGCTCCAAAATTTCCTCCTTCCCCATAAAAAATATGGCCTTCATTTCCTAAGTGGAAAAGTAATTCACTAAGCTTTACCATCCAACCATTATTGTGCCCGTTACTGCAAAGCTAAATGAAAAGTATGGGTACTGCACACTTCCAGAGGATAAAGAAGGGCTCTAGGCCTTCATGAGAATAAAGCTGATCATGAGGAAGAAGATGACCATAGCAGGTGGTCCAAGTCTGAACTGAGCTAAGCACTATGTGCACTGTTAACTCATCGACTATTCAGAACAATCCTATGAGGTACCCACTGTTTCCCAATTTAAAATGAGAAACTAAGTTTTAGTGAGATCAAATGATCTCACTAAATGTTCAAGGATACATTTCTTGTTAAAACAGAGATTCTCACCCAGATTTGACTGACACGAGAGTCCCGGCTCATAACATCTACACCATTTAACCTCCAAACATAAACTGATGTGTAGTTTTCAATGAATCTTCAGTAGTTGCAGAAAAATAAGACTTACATTAAAATAAGCCTGAATGTATCACAATGTATCACATAGACACATGTAAGATTCCTTGAAACAATATACATTCGGTTTTCAAAATCATTCAGATACTATTTTTATTGCAAAGTTTTGAAATATATGAAATATAAAACAGCTGCAGAGAGCTCACTATTTCATTCTCTGTCAAACTGGCTGCTGAACCCATTCTTACCATCCACAATGTTTTTAACTTATGCTCCTGTCTTTAAGATTATCTTCAACTGCCTTCTTCATTTATTCTGTATTTGTTTTTAGACATTTAGACTAGATACACCTTTTCACTTGGAGATAAAACAAAGGGGAAAGAAGAGAGAAAGAGAGGTAGGAGCTTGAGGGAAAAGATCTGCTTTTAAAATACTGGGTAATATCATAAACATTAAATATAAAATGATGTGAAGCTCAGAAACAAAAACAGTATTTACTTCAAACATGGCTTCAGTCTCAAATCCCATTTTTAGTTTACACTGAAAACTATGTAGCTTCTACTCAAGAAAAATTTATGATTTTGATCTAGTAGAAAAAAACAATATAAATGACACATGATCATAACCAATTCATTTTGTCAAAAATAAATAAATATATATATAAATAAACCCTATATCCCTGGGTAGACATATCTGAGTTTCCATAAAGATTCCCTGGAAGGTTCTTCAAACGTACAAAAAATTAAGACATAAAATGTATACAAAATTTTTTTAATCTAAGCTACTATGCAAAGCCTATGATTATCATGTAAGGCTCTAGAAAACACACCTAGGTAACAAAATCTTCTATTAGTCTATTTAAAACTAAGATATAAGACTGAAAGCCAACATTTTATCCCTTTGACTTTGATGCAAACATGGGCTGGTGAGCAAGTTTATTCAGGTTACTCCAGAATCAGTTCAGCAAGAAAGACTTAGGAAAGAAACAGAACTTTGAAAGAGTAGAGATAAATCAGCTATATTCGCCATCTTATTCTTTGAAATCTATGAAATTATTCTGCCAGAGTTGCTTCAGAAAAATATTGTATAAGCCTGGACCTTAGTCAGTTCTTCAAAGGAAACAATAGCTCTCCTCCTCAAAATTAAGTTCACATAAATTCCAAAACTCCTGTTTTCTCCAGGTAAGTATAGCCAAAATGGAAACATCAAATGAGAATTAAAGAAAGTACATAAATCAGGATACCTTGATTCCTGGACAGTGGGCAAAAAAAGCTTCAGGACTTTGAGAGTGATAGAGAGCCCCGTGGCCAACACAACCCCAAGGGGACCGGATGGTGAGGCTTCCACAATTAAAAAGATCTCCAGAACGATATCGATACTTGGCAGCTTCATTAACAATCTAAGAAAGGGAAAACAGAAAGCATAGGTCACAGTAAGAGTTCATTCCCACTCATTTTCATAGACCATTTTATTACATGCTTGAATATATGCACTTAACAAAATAGCTAAAGGTAACAAAAAGTTCCTAAAATATGGGAGAATAGAGGGAGTAATTTCATATTTGATGGGCTTAACTGTAGAAATGCTCTGTCATAGCAAAATGTAATCTTTTTACCTGATCAAAAGCAGGAAAAATGTAATCTGCAAATTGAATTTCGGCAATGGCAGTAGCACCAGTCACTGCAATCCCAATTCCAAATCCAACGATCCCTTGTTCACACAATGGAGTATTAAAGACTCTATCCTTTCCTTAAAAAAAGAAAATGAGGTCATCTTTATTTGGCAAATAAGAGTAATGTGATATATAATATAACTGAAAATTCAATAGTTAATAATGAGATGGAGAGGGAAAAGCATACAACAAGTGAAGGAAGTAGGAAAAAAATCATATAATAGTTGGTTAAAAGTAAAGTAATTCTATGAACTATAAGTTATCTAAATTCCAATTAAAAGAAAGTTTATTGCATTAGAATAAAAGGTACAGTATCTAAATGAACCACCCAATAGAGAAGTTTTTAGTAAAAAGGGAGAAAAATCACAATAAAAAGCTTAATGAAACAAGAAACTAATGCTACTACATTAATGGCAGAAAAGCAGGCCTTGAGAGAAAAGGCATTTTTGCAGCAACATGGATGTGCTGGAAGTGATCACGCTTAGTGAAATAAGCCAGACGGAAAAAGAAAAATACCGGGTGGTTTCACTCATAGCAGGAGCATAAGGAACTGGGAGGTGGGGGGAGGGGGGAGGAGGAGAGAGACAAACAAATGTAATCGAGTAAAAATTAAAACAATGAACGACTATAAACCAGAGACATTTTATGGGGGTGGGAGGGGGGATGGGAGCAGAACTGGGGTGGGAACAGTGCATTGGACTGCGGTGATGGCACACTGGTGAAATGGTGTTCGGAAGCCCATGGGGATTACAACTGAGATGAAAAATGCACAAAATGGGGCCCTCCCTGATGGCACAACAGGTAAGGATGCAGCACTGCTAGCTAGCCACAGCAGCGTCACCGCGAGTTTGATCCCTGGCCCGGAGGTGACCTACATGGCGTGGCAGACCTCTCCCGACACATCCGCTGCTCCCCTCAGTAGTTTACTTTGTCCATCTGCCTGTTCTGCTCCCCACTCTATCTCTGGTGAATCCACTCACTGCTCCTGCACCTCTGGCTTGTACCCCATTTTCTGTATGTGTAAATAATTTTTTTAAATACACAAAATGAAGAACAATGTAAAAAATAATATATATAAAAAGAACCTGCATAACCAAAGATAAAGAAGAAAAATTTGTACAGTTAAAGGGTTCCATTTACAAGGAAGATAAAGCAATTCTAAGCTTATATTTATCTAACAGCCTGACCTCTAAAAAAAAACAAGAAAAAATTAACAGAATTATAAGGACAAGTGAAAAAATTCCAGTAGGGTTTAAGATTTTAATGCACCAGCCTTAGTAACTGACAGAAAAAGCATACTAATATATAATGGTAAAAACTACAGAAGATTTAAATACAGTTAATAAACATGACCTAACTGACATATACAGGATATGGCATCCAACAGCTAAGAACACTAATACTTTTCAAGTAAACAGAACACTGACATTAAATAACCACAGACTGTGCTATAAAACTAATCTTGACAAATTTCAAAGGATTATCATCATATAAAGTATATTCTCTCACCATGAAGGAATTAAGCTAGAAATCAATAATAGTAGAAAATTGGAAAATTCTTATGTCAGAAAAAAATCATAAATACATGTCTAAATAATTCATGGCTAAGAACAAGTTAAAATGAAAACTGGAAAATATTTTCAGCTCAATGATAATGAAAAAAATATTAATCAAAATTTACTAAGTTTCTGATTTCACTAATGGCATAGTAGTAGTAATTTTATTTTTTTCCCTAAACCAATCCTCCCAAACCTAGACAAACACAACCACCAACTACTTAAAAGTACTGGGAGCCAAAACATAGGTCCAAACTGAAGTGGACTTAACCTTTAAATGAAAGAAAGTGCAGTAGAGGAACATGACATTTTTAAAGTTTGTCCCCTAAGGAAATTCCCAGTCTCTTAATACGGGTCAGCTAGAATTCAAACTCAGTGGTTTGAATTGTCAGAAGACAACCTATAGCTGCCATGGCTGAAAATTGAGAGATTACATCTCTCCAAGAAAGAAGGCACCCCAAAATCTGTGCATAAGCTCTGCTCAGATCTTCAACTGACCCCTGTGCCTGCCAGGAGAGTCTAAGACTCAAGCAGATAAAAACAGGTGGAATTTTAAAAAGCTGAACAGACACTTTGGTTCTGCCCACTAAAGACATTTAGAGACACAATTTAGAGTTTGAGACTCTTCAGATTAAAGGATCTTGATCAATACCTTAGGTTTTTTCTATTGAAATCAAAAGGTACAATGTTAACATTCTCATTAGAAGTTTCACCACCTCAGCCTGTATCAGAATTTCATGAGAAATCCTGTTAGGAAGCTAGACAGACACAAACAATGGCCACAGTCTGGCTAGACGATGAAAAGTTTTGGACAAATCTGAGATTCATATTTCAGTTCCATAACCCATGACCTACGGCTATCAGTTCTTCATATATAGAATTCATTTTTCAGCTCAATCGTTCCCTTTGAAAGTGAACAAATAGGGCAGATGCCAAAAAATGCCGACTAGACATCCTGTAGTTTGCACTCTTAAAAGTAGCTGCAAAAGCTTAAAGCATGATTCATACTCATTATGTTCTATAACTATCTTCAAACATTGTGACCTCTAGCCTTCTTCACTGCCTACCCTTCACCAGTTCCTACATTTGAACAGCTCAATAATTTCTGGAAATCTATGAATTTCACAATACTATAATTTACTGGTGGGAAATAAACATAGATTCCAGCTATCCCCATGGAATTCACATATCTTAACCAGGTAAGACTGTTCTTATTCATTGCTGCTTCAAGTTCCCTGGATTCAGACATTTTTTAATCTCAGTATGCACAGCCTTTTTTTGCAGGTAGGTGGCACAAATGTTTGGTATCTCAGGACTCTATTTTAAAACATACTTGGTTTGAGAAAATAACTAATCTTTCCAATAACTTTCTATGATCAAGAAGAAACTGCTTCAACATGAACAAAATGTTTAAACCTTTCTATTTTCACCAAAATAGGTAATGTCTGAGGGTAGGAGAACAAATAAAATACACAATACTGATGACTTCCTCTGTCTTATAAGATACACAGAATCCCAGTGGGTGGATTAATACACACAGGGAGTGACTACATCACAGGCCAATCCAGATCTGGGTTTCATGCCATATCCACACATATCTAAACTTCCTAAGAATCAATTTCTTATCTGTAGCGAAAGCATAATAATATTTAAAAGACTGAAGTAATTCATATATTTAATAATAAATAAAATTTAAAAAAGCATAATAATATTTAATTCATATATATTCATATATATTCAACAAGTATTTCTAATATTATGTAGATATCATTCTAGATGTAGACCATAGTAGTAAACAAATTTAGCCTAATGTAACTTATTTTCTAATCAGGAAAACAGATAACAAGTGACTAAAATACATAGTGTATTAGATGACAAGGGAGAACAGTAAAGCAAGGAGCAGATGATTAGGGGGAAGTGAGACTACCATGATTTTTTTTAAAGATTTATTTACTTATACATTACAGAACTGGGATACAGGCCAGAGGTGCAGGGGCAGTGAGAGGATTCACCAGAGACAGAGTGGGGGGCAGAACAGGCTGACTGAGTACACTGCTGAGGGGAGCAGCAGGTGGGTCAGGAGAGGTCTCCCACACTATGTGGAACACCTCCAGGCCTAGGGATTGAACTCATGCTGAAGTGGCTTTCTCTTCTTAGTGCTGTGCTTTAACCCTTTGCGCCACCAGGGAGAACCCCAGACTACAGTGATTTTAAATAGAGATTAGAATGGTGCTAATGAGAGGTGACATTTAAACAAAGACCTAAAGCAAATGAGAAGACAGACCATGTACACCCTAAGGGGATAAAAACTCTAGGCAGAGAGACCAGCAAAAGCAAAAGTCCTAGGATATGAGCATGTTTAGCACATCAGAAGAAAGGCAAGAAGCCCAGAGTGCCTGGTCTAAAGTAAGAGAGATAGTTATAAGAGATGAAAATGATAAGTTAAAATGATGGTAAAAGGACAGAGAAAGGGTCAGACAGGGCCTTGGCTTTTATTGTAAGAATAAAAGAGTCAATAACTAGGTAAAAAAGACAGGAAGCCATTGACCAAAGCTATGCCATTCTCTGGGGTGCATTTCAACAGATCCCTATGGCTAGTGTTTGATATATAGCCATTAAGTAACAAGAGTAGACACAACAAGCCTAATTACAGAATACTGAGATAATCCCAGTAAGACATGATGCATAATAGCAATGAAGGGAAACAGAGGTGTAAGGCTCTAGATACACTCTAAAGATAGTCAAAAGGATTGTTGATGAAATGGATGTGGAATATAAGTCAGAGAAATGCTAAGGCTTTTTCCCTGAGCACCCTAAAGCTTCATGAAAGAAGAAGGAAATAAGAAGTAGGAGAGCTATCATGAAGTAGGTATGTATGAAGAGGTGTTGGGATGAGATATCAGCAGCTCAATTCTGAAGATGTTAAGTCTGAGGTGCCTTCAGACATTAAGGTGAAACTATTGATTAGGTCACTGCATAGGTGAGCTGAAAACTTAAGATAGCATAGGTGAGCTTAAAACTTAAAGACAGGCCCTCCCTGGTGGCGCAGCGGGTTAAAGCACAGCACTAAGAAGCTAAACTCACTTCTGCATGAGTTCGATTCCTGCCTGCCCCAGAGGTGACCTCTCCTGACTGGCCCGCTGCTCCCCTCAGCAGTATACTTCGTCGATCTGCCTGTTCTATTCCCCACTCTGTCTCTGGTGAAGCCTCTCACCGTCCCTGAGCTTCTGGCCTGTACCCCAGTTCTGTATGTACAAATAAATAAATCTTTAAAAAAAAAAAACAACTAAAGACAGCATTAAATGACACAACTGGATAAGATTATCAAGTAAATTTAAATGAGTATTTAGAGGGCATATTATAAAGGCATAAAGAAAGATATAATCAACAAAGTTGAGAAGAAAAAAAGAGTCAAAGAGTGTAGAAGAAAACTAGGAAATTGTGCTGGCCTAGAATCTAGGACCAGAAAGTGTTTCTACAAGTGATCAACTTGTGCTAGATCTGTCAACAGAAAATAAGGT